CACACACACACACACACACACAAATTCTTTGAATGTGCAGTAAAATAAGTACTTTGTAAAAAATTATGGGACAAAATGTGTATACAAGAGTCTAACTGAAATAGCACCATAACAAATGACCTCAATACTGTCAAGTGCACTTACTTTTTAAGGCACAATACACTTGAAAATCTATTGCACTTTAAGATATTTTGCCAACTTATGCCACTCTAAAGATTTTGAAAGATCAATGCATTCTGGATGCAACATCCCAAGTAGAGAGACAATTTTTTTTGAGTAGTGGAAAGTCATCTTTGGACAAATTTAGCACAGACTATAAATACAATGGAAACCTATGCAACTAAAACTGCATTGTTAAAAACTGACATCTTCTGCAGTTTAACATATATTTCCTACAACTTGTGAGACCTTATTTTCTTATTCTTAGATTCATAAAATCTCCAAGTGTACCCCACCTTTGTATTTCAATAAAGCTGTATGAAGCAATGTGAATCTGCATTAAAATAAAGGCTGCTGCATAAACCTTTCAGTTCAAATTCTCTTGACGAAAAAAAAAAAAAAAAAAAAAAAAAAAAAAAAAAATCAAAACTGAATCCAGTGAAGACCAGAATCCAGTAATGCCCGAAAAGGATTGGTCATTGTCATTCCTATGGACAGCCATTCTAACATTTCAAATTGATTTACGGCAGGCAATGAAGGATCTAACTAAATATATCCTCCCAAACACTTTATCAGGTCTAAACAATTCTTGCAGTAGGATGCCCACAGACACTGAACTTAAAAGCAGTAAATAGCCTAAATATTAAACAGGGAATTGATATATTTACTTGCATTAACTTCAAAGAGTAAGTTCAAAAATATTGCTGTGTTCACACTTCATGACAGGAGTGTTTTCTTATAGTTTAAGGTTCTAAGTGCCTATCCAGAACAGAGAGAGCAAGTCAGAACTTTAGCACTTTGCCATACTAGAAAATAATCACATTTTAAGATGACCTCCTCCCCACCAGGGTCTACAAGTACCAAACTCTCAACACAGGCTACTGCAGTTTTTCCTTGTATTTACTGATGAATTAATTATCTCTGCTACATAGAATCACACCTCTTTATCAAGGTTTAATTGTAGCTCAAATTCAGTAAATTTATTTTGTCCAAACAACTGATATTTTGAGCATTACCAAGCCAACAAGACATCAAAATACTGTTGTTAAAGTCACAGTACATTAACAAACAAATGATCCTCAGTCAAGATTACAAATGCAGTTTGGGGTGGGACTCAGCAGGAGACAAGTTAATCCATACTGCAACTAAATCTTCAACTTCTGAATAGGTCTGTAGTTGCTCTGCTGATTTCTTCTTGTGACTTTGAGCTCTCTTGGAATTTTCATAAGAATCACAGCTGATAATGTACTGCAAGTTCTTAAAGCTACATATTATAGTCTGGCTAAGTTATATGTGGTTTCCACGTTGGCTTGTATGAAATGATGACTGCAGCAAAGGAGATTCAGTTGCCCCACCAGTCAACCCCCTGGGAGTTATAATTTCCACCATATCCATCACTATTGTAGAAGCCTCCGTAGCCACCTATCAAAAGATTTAAAAAAAGAACTTAAGACACTAGTATCTTTCCTTTTCTCAATACCTCAATATAAACAAGGAATATCTATTGCTGTACTTTGTGCTCTTTAGAATCTAGAATTCCCTTATTAAATTATGCTTGGATAAAGACAACTAAGAAGGAGGGGACTTTACAAAGGAAATATTATTATTACCTCCACCAAATCCTCTGTTATTGCCGTGACCACCTCCACCACTGCGGCTACTGCCTGCACGGGTACTACTAAAACAAGAGCTGCTGGAACCACTACTTTGTCGATAGTCTCTAGCACCAAATCCTTCACTGAATCTATTTCAAAGAAAAATATTATGTGACCATGTTGAGTACAAAAATTCAAATAAAAAGTGCTAACAGCCATATAAACTTCCCAATTCTCAATTAATTTTACAATTTAATTTCACTGTGGTCAAAGTACTCTTAATGGTTTTTCCAAAAACTAAATGAGCAAACAAGTTATAACTTGTTCTATAATTTTCCATTTTCAAAAGTGTTTTTAGGTAGTTGAAGAACCTTTTAACTCTAAATTTAACTTATTGGCCCAAACATAATAGTAACCAAGTACCTCTTAGAACGTCCACTTCTGCCACCTTTGAAATGGTGTTCAAAAGCCTTATCTTCCAACCAAGATGGCACTTCTTGTTTAGCTTCATTAAGGAGGTCCAATAAATCTTTTGTGATGTTCATATTTCTTTCATTAAAGAATGAGGTGGCAAGACCTAAAAAATTTTTAAAAAGTACCTAAAGGCTAATTTCTATAAAGTAGCCAGCTCAGTATTTTCAATTTTCCACTGGTTATTAAGTAGACCTCTAAAATGACACTTTACGTTTGCAAAGCAACCCCAACTGAAGAGCTAAGAAAAACTTTTAGATTAAAAAAAATTTATTTTTTCTTATTCTTTTTTTTTGAGATAGGATCTTGCTATGTAGTTGACTAAATAACCCAGGCTGGCCTTAACCTCACAGAGAACCTCCTATCTCAGCTTCCCAAGTGCTGGAATTATAGGTGTGCACCACCACACCTGGCCTAATTAGCTTATGAATCTGATGTCATTATTCCTAAAAACAAACACACAAACTAACAAAAACTGACTTAGAATTCTGTCAGATTCTTTACTATATACCTGTGCCTCTCTTATACACACAACACATCTAATAGAACACTTTACCAAGGTTTCCTAAACGTCCTGTACGGCCAATGCGATGCACATATTCTTCAATATCACTTGGCAAATCAAAGTTGATAACATGTTTCACATTTGAAATGTCGAGACCTCTTGCTGCCACCTGGAAAATAATATTCATTAATAGAAAGCAGGGCCAGGGATTTAGCTCAGTGGTTCTTCCTCCTGCCTTGCAAGCACAAGGGCTCGAGTTTGATCCCCGGTAGCAAAAAGGAAAAAAAAAGAAAGCAATATTCAAACATAATTAAGTAAAAAACAAAATATACATACAGCCGTGGCCACTAGAATTGGACTTTTCCCTGAGCGGAACTGCTGAAGTGCTGCTTCTCGATCTCTTTGTGATCGGCCTCCATGAATACTGGTACAGGCAAACCCTGCATGGTGTAAGAAATCCTCCAGGCAATCTGCACCCTTTTTGGTCTCCACAAACACTAAAGTCAGTGAATCCTTTCCTGAAAAATTAAGATCTCATTTATAACGCCTGGGCATCATTACTTCCTTTAAATGTTAACTGGTTTAATTCTAATTAATTGGTTTAATTGATTTACTAATAAGCCAGTTATTATTTATTACCTCCACCAAATCTTCTGTTATTGCGGTGACCACCTTATTATTTATTAATAATAACTGGTTTAAATGTTAACTGGTTTAATCTCTAATTTAGAATGGGGACATAGGAGAGATGGGGCACAAAAATATAAAGAGATTCTCCTGTATCTTGCAAACACTAGCATTCATAATTTTACCTGTTGTAACTAAGACATCAAGTAGACATGACCGTTTATCTAATTCTTCCACCCAAATCACTTTCTGTGTGATATTTTCAGAAGTAGAGCCTACTCTGCCTACAGCCAGAAAAATGTATTCATCCAAGAAGTCACAAGCAAGCATCTGGGAAAAATAAAAAGAGAAAAATTCTAAACAATCTATTTTAGTATACAAATTATATCAAGACATTATCTATAACCACAAATGCTCCCAAGGTAACATCAAATAGTACCTGTATTTCCTTAGGAAAAGTAGCACTAAACATCATAGTTTGACGAACACCTTTTGGTGGCATAGTATCTTGTTCAACTATACGCCGTATCTGAGGTTCAAACCCCATGTCCAACATCCTGTCAGCTTCATCCAACACTAAGTATCTGTTAATAAAAAGTAGTTGACTCTGGAGAGTGAGCAGACCATTGTGACTGCTGAGAAACTGCCTAAAATTATGTTAACAACCAGGTGTGATGGCTGATGCCTATAATCCTAGCACCCTAGAGGATCACCAATTTGAGGCTGGCTGGGAGTTCATACAGAGTTCAAGGCCAGCCTGAACCAGGTAAGATCTTGTCTGAGGGCAAAGGAGAAGAGAAAAGGATTAAAACCAACATACTTGCAGAAGTCTAATCCAATTTTTCCTCTTTCCATCATATCCACCAGACGTCCCGGAGTGGCAACTAGTAAATGGCAACCACGCTCTAAGTCTCGAATCTGCTGGCCAGTATGAGCACCACCGTAAACTACACAAGGACGAACTCTAGACCGGTATGAAAACTGTAAGCAAGAAATGTATTAGCGATTGAAACAATATTATGATCAATTGAGTAGGCAAACCACTAAAATGCATATTTACTTTTCTTGCTTCCTCATAGATCTGCACTGCCAATTCTCTTGTTGGGGCCAACACCAAGGAGATTGGGTATTGTTTGCGGCGCCCATACCTTCCACTTTCCTAGGAAAATTAAGTATACTTTCAAACACAGAAGATGCAAAACTATGGCGTTTTAGGAAGTTAATCACAACAAAAATTTTCTTTATAATTTAAGAATTATAACAAACACACTAGCTTTCATTAGCGAAACAGACTGCAAACAACAACTACAAAAAGATATCATGGCTTAGAAAGGTCTATGTGTACAAATTTCTAAAACATTTATTTCTGCATAAAGAAATCTTTACCTTTGCAGCCTTTAAAGCCTCTCCTGGACCATCTGTATATATCTGACTCAGAATTGGCAGAAGAAATGCTGCAGTTTTTCCAGACCCTGTTAAAACAAAACAAAACAAAACAAAAAGAGTGGCTTATTACATTTGAATGGGGCTGGAATTTAGGCTGGTCTTGATCTTATTGCATTCCTCCTGCTCCAGCTTTTGGGGTGCATGTACCACCATACTTGGCTTGAATCTGAGTATTAAGAGGTGATGAAATCCGCACAGGCCTATTTTTCTGAAGAAAGTTTCTTAATCTCTACCCGTTTTTCTGAGCAACATAGTGAATTTACACATGAACATAAATGTGTCTATACTGTGCCTCTTGTTCTTTTCTTTAGGAAGGAGGTAGTTCTACAGACTGAATGCAAGACTTTCCCACTGAGCTCCAACACCTTTTTATTTCTATTTTTTTGAGACAAGATCTAAGACTGGCTTTTAATTAAATTTGCTTGCCTCTGCCTATGACCCATTTTTTTAATGTAGTACTGGCATCAATGCATCCTATTTGCATAGAAATAGCGTTTTGTCTCAAATGTGCCATCAACATCTATTTTAACTTTTCTGTTACTTCACATTCCTACAAATGTAGTAACTATAATCAACACTTTCTTTAAAAAGCTTAGTAGTCCCTGGTCAGAGTGGTACATATCTGTAACTTCAACACGTGGGAAGCAGAAAGACTGAATTTTTAAGTCAGCCTCAGATAGACAGCAAGGTCCTATTTAAAACCAAACAAAACCCAAAAGCCTAACAAAATCAGGTCTTAAAAGACCAGTCTGCACCAATATTCAGCTACTTCTGCAACCACGACTTTTCTTAAGTAAACAGGTATGCTGTTTATTCTAAAGTCTGAAAATAATTAATTCAGAATGTATTAAAAGGGGCTGGGGATTTAGCTCAGCGGTTGGGTGGCCTGCCTTGCAAGTGCAAGGACCAGAGTTCATCCCCGGTACCAAAAAAAAAAAAAAAAAAAAAAAAACCCACAAAAAAACAAAATGTATTAATAAATGCTATCCCAGGGCCGGGGATTTAGCTCAGTGGGGCTGGCACCTGCTTTGCAAGCTCAGGATCCTGAGTTTGATCCCTGGGCCACAAAAAATATTTTTAAAATTTCATTATTTCTATAATGTAAATATGCACAAAAATGACACAAAATGCAACCAAAAAATTTTTTTTACTTTGTCTGGGTTTTAGCTCAGTGGTGCCACTGCCTGCCTCGCAAGCTTAAAGTCCTAATTTCAATCCCCAGTTCGAAAACAACCACCAACAAAAAAACCCTCCACTTCTATTTCCTCTGTGCTAAATTCTTATACTAAGAATTCTATCTCTGTCTGCCCCACCCCCTAAACTCTAAACAATACAAGTAGGAGGTACCTTTTCTTCTCCAGTTTTGATTTACAGGCTTTTGCCTATGTTATTTTTCTTATTTTTGTTACTAACTTCCCCTATGTTGTAGTCACAGTTTTCTTTGTTGCACTACCAGGGCTTGACAATTTTGCTATAGGTTTCTCAAAGAGGTTCTCATGAGAATACAAATGTCACCGCAAGGACTCTAAAGTATAAAAAACATTAGCCATATCTTTTTTTTTTTCCCCCTCATTGAATTTATTGGTACATTTTAGGTATATAGTACAGTTACATTCATTATTGGGATCTTATACCTTTGCATTACTTGGTTCTCATTTTTCCCCTTGTCCCTGCCCTCCCTTCACCCCCTCCTCTCCTCCTCACTTAGAAACATTTTATTTCCATTTTTCCATTTTCTCCTATTTTTTTTCCTTTCCCTTATTACCTTTCCCCTACCCTTCCCACTTTCCCTACACCTTTAGCCCTAGCCATTCCTCAAAGTCATGATAAATAGAGGATTCAGGCCTTCTCACAGAACATACTTTAGAGCAACCCCAGTAGATATGCTTTTATTCTTTACCAAGTATATGTACCTGTTTGAGCACAAGCCATTAAATCTCTTTTTTCTTTGATAATAGGAATTGCATGTTTTTGCACTGGAGTAGGACGAGTATAATGAGTCAGTTCAATGTTTCCCATAATAATCTCTCCCATCTCAAGATCGCTAAACTGTCAAAAAATATAACACAGATCAATCAAGAAGAAACAAAAACAGAAGCAGTCTATCTGCCACAGTTTGTTTCATAAATATAATGAAGCAGCCAAATAAGTACCTACAATTGGAGTATTACAGTATTTTCTAAGGAACAGAATTCCTGGCTCTATCTACATTTCAAAAAAGTATTTGGTTTTTCATGTCTGACATTTTTTTTTCTTTAAAACGAATAGGCAAACAAACAACGTTTTTAAAAGTCAAACCAAAAAAATCTTACATTTTCAATATGTGGAGGGCAGTTATTGCCAGTTGCCTCTACTGGTATATCGTCGTATTTCTCAAAGTTAATCCCCGTATTTCCTCCAGAAAAAAGTTCTCTGAAATCAGATCATTATTATTTACATGTTACACTAAGTAGTAAGATTCACAAAAGTGAACATACATTTTTAAACTTACTGTTCTAAGCGTTCACTTGGAGGAAGAGGTTTTGACCAATCATCTTCATCTGCTCTGTCACACCAACGACTATACCCACTACGTTCATATTTGCAAAAGCCAGTTCTGTCACGATCATCAAATCTGAACAGCATAAGGAACTGCTATTAGTTGAACTGTTAAACACACATACTTTTAGGTATGTCAATAATTCAGTACAATTCAAATGCCGTTTGTGTAATAATGCTCTCTAGTCAACCACGATTAGATATAATTTACACCTTCATTTAAAAGAACTAGTAGTAGAAAAGTAAGATAACACAAAAGTCCTTTAGAAATAAAGGAAAATTCCCTCATGGGAAGACTTAAGATTTACTTTATAATCATGTTTGATAAAATGAATATTAGTCTGGTATGGTGGTGCATATCTATAACTCCAACACTCAAGAAGTAGTGCTGAGGGAGGAAGGTGATAAATTGGAGACCCTATCCTTAAAATACAAACAAAGCAAAAGAGGAAAAAAACCCAACAAAACCAAACCCCAAAATAACACAAAATTAAATATAATTATTCAGCTATGAAAATCAAGTTGCCACACTATGCAATTAAAAATAAAAATTAAGTATAGCAGTTTACACCTGTATTTGCACTCTTGAAAGGCTGCACCAGTGTTGCCTCAAATTGGAGGCCAGCCTGGCCCAGTCTGAAATATAGCAAGATCCTGTTCTCAATGAAAATAACCAAGGTAAGAAAATATAGTTTAAAAAACTCTATAAATTATAAACATCTCAAGCAAAAAATAATTGCATATAAACTTTCTCATTAGGTCTGCTTTAATAATACTGCACATAAAGCCAGGGATTTAGCTCAGTGGTTCCACCACCAGCCTTGCAAGAAAAAGGACCTGAATTCAATCCCTAGTACCAAAAAAAAGGCTGATCTCCAGGCTCTTCCCCAGATGGATTGGGTCAGAATTTCAAGGAGTAGCTCAAAAGTCAATATACTGCAGATAATTTACCTAATTTTAGGAAGGACTTCTCAGAGTTAACAAAAAAATTATACCTATATTTTGCTTAAATCTATTACTGTATCACCTGTTAAGGAAAAGCAACACTTTAATTAAAAAAGTGTAACAAATTAAAATTCCTAAACTGCACTATTGTAGCTCAATGGTAGAACATTTATCTAGCACACATCCCCTCTGTATTTTATCCTATACAAAAAGATTCCTAAATTACCAATATATATACACATAAACTATGACTCTACCTTCCCCTTGATCCACTTCCACGATCACTGAAGTAACGGGACTTTCCTCTTGAATCACGAGACCCAAAGCTGCTATATGCATCCTTGTCTTTACTGCAACTCCAGCCTGAACTTTCCTTATTGTAGAGTCCTTCAAGAAAAAGGCAAATATTAGAAACTGACAAGACTTGATAAGATTTTTGCTTTCCTAGATATGAAGCATTTAATGACACAGCCTTATCTGTTCCTGGTGGGAACAAAGGTCAACTTAAAAATCTTTAATACTGTATTTTAAATAAGGCAATCCAATCATTTAAACATAATGTTCAAGGGCTGGGGATTTTGTCTTGAAAGCACAAGGTCCTGAGTTCAATCCCCAGTACTGGAAAACAACAGCACTAACAACAAAAAGAATAGGGACCAGGAACTGCTGCCTCAAAAGCTCAAGGTCCTGAGTTCAACCCATGGTAACTACAGAAGTGGGCAGAGGGGAGAGACGAAAATGTGGGACGGATGGATGTTCAAACCAGGTGTGGCACATGCCTGTACTCCTAGCAAGCTGAAGTTGGAGGCCAACGTGGATCACACAATGTTAGGCAAGGTAACACTACATAGTGAGACTCAGTCTCAAAAAGCAAAATTCAGAACAATACCACACCTCCATTCTACAGTTCAGTTTCCACTCCACTCACTTTACCAATAAAAATTCAGAACAATACCACACCTCCATTCTACAGTTCAGTTTCCACTCCACTCACTTTACCAATAAAAATGATGTACTAGGGCGGGGGATTTAGCTCAGTGGTGCCACTGCCTGCCTTGCAAGTGGAAAGTCCTGAGTTTGATCCCCAGTACCAAAGCAGGTATGATGTAATAAAAACAGGAGCCTGCTCAATTCTAGTTAAGACTTGGCAAATTCTTAAACTTGAGTTAGGCTAAGATAGAGATTTTTCTTTTCTTCCAGTACCGGGCATTGAACAAAGTGTGCACTGAACTTACATCCACAGCCCTTTTTCAAAATTTTGCTAAATTATTCAGGCTAACTTTCTTCTAATCCTTTTGCCTCAGCCTCTTGAGTAGTGAGGTTACAAGCACTGCCACACCATTTTAAGAATAATTAGGTTAAACTGGCTTCTTAGTTATTCTCTCACTTCTAAATAAATATCTGACAAGTCCCATACAGATATAATATGGTACCCACATGTGGTGGTACACAACTATCAATCCCTGTTCTCAGGAGGCTGAGGCAGGATTGACACCATCCTGGACTATTTAATGAGTAGCAGTAGTATTTCAGCCATTCTGAAATATATAATGAGAACCTGTCTCAAAAGCCACCCCCAAAAATACTCTCAAAAATTATATTTGCAAAATGTCACAGTCATACCCTTGGATGCTTCTCTGTTTCTTAAATGAGGAGGTATATAACGTCCTTCTAAAAGAGAAAAACGTAAAAAAGTTGAGAGCCTATATATTCTCCCAGAGTTTATCAAAATGTCAAGTTACCAACAGTTTCTTTTTCTCCTATGATAAAAATGAATACCATACAATAAAAACACACAAAAAGGCGGGAAAAGGTAAAATTGAAATAATGTGTTTTATTTTTAAGCTTTTAAAAATTAAATCTGTAGCCTAGTTTACAATTAACCAATAAAGTGGAAAAACCTACTCTCACATAAGAACAAAAATTTTAATCTTCTATACTTAAAATTAAAAGTCCAGCGGTACTTGATTAAATCCATTATTATACTTATATAATTACTAACCTACACTATATCTTCCAATTATCAATTCCTCAAAGTCCTGATGTTTACAAACTCTTTTATAACTTTTTTTTGTTTTGTTTTTTAGAGACAGGATCTCACTATGTAGTGAGCCTGACCTGGAACTCACTATGTAGCTCAGGCTGTTCTCGAACTCACAGTGATCCTCCTGCCTCAACCTCCTGAGTGCTGAGACACACAGTGATCCTCCTGCCTGAGCCTCCCCAGTACTGGGATTACAGGTGTGCACCACCATGCCCGGCCTTACAACTTATTTTTAAAGACAATGTTTTGCTAGGTAGTTAGGCTGGCCATCAGCTCACTATGTAGCTCAGGTTAGCCTTGAACTTGCAGTGATCCTCTAGCCTCAACTTCCCAGGTGCTGGGAATTACAGGTGTGAGCCATAACACCCAGCCTTGTTCAAAGAAAAAATTTTAACAGGGCTACCCAGCACACAAGAAATTAGCAGAGCTGGGTTTTACCATTAAGCTTCTGGATTTCCTTGGTAAATGGCTAGTACTAACTATGGCATGTAAATGTACAAGTTCTGTTTATATTTAACAAAATTTGAGAGAATGGACACATCATTGCATTAATATTAACCTTAATATTTAATTGCTCTATATCATTATCTATATATGGCAAAATATATCTTATATGGAAAAAACTTAGAATTAGTTAAATCTAATGATACTGAGTTACCAGTTTTTAAAAAAAAAATTCTGCATTAGAAAAATGTTATCTTACTGCTTGCTGTGTTTGCTCCGCCACTCTGATTATCAGAAGAGTTCAGGTCTAAACCAGCAAACTGGAAAAAAGGCATTAAGGACTCACAACTTGGCACATAAAAACTACGATAAAAATCAAATAGCATCACCATATTTGCTAAGGACCCTGTCTATCTTCAAAGTTTTAAGCCTAGCAATGACAAAAGACAGAACATAAATTAATAGTAACAATTCAGTAAACAGTCTATTTTATAAAGCAGATTTACTGTTTTCCATTGAAAATAGCTCAATCACATTAAAATTTTCCTTCAATTTTCCAGTAACACAATCTGACAACTGTATCTGAAGAATATTCAATGCCAGTTTCCTCCTTGATGTAATTTTAAATTTTAAAAATGGAGCAATTTGGAAATTCCTTAATTTCTTCATGGTCTAAAGTATTTTAATTCAGATAAATTCCTAAGCATCAGCGGAGCATGGTGTTTTTCACACCTACAGTCTCGGCTTTAGGGAGGCTGAGGCAGAAGGATGGCCAAAAGCTTGAGATCAGACTTGGTCAAAAGTTTTAAAAGCAGCCTGACCTAGGACCGGGGATTTAGCTCCATGCCTGCCTCATTAGCACTGTGAGACCACGTCTAAAAAAATGTCTAACCCCCGCCTCCAAAGTTAGGACGTTAGAAACAAACTATTGCATCACCATCCAAAAGGTACTGAGTATGGGCCAGGAATCTAGCTCAGTGGTTCCACCACCTTCCTCACAAGTGCAAGGACCCAAATTCAATCTGCAGTACCTCACTCCCCCAAAAGTGCTGAGTACAACAGAGCTTTTAAATATCAGAGCATTAATACTTGGCACTTGACAGGTCGTAGCATTCCTTAGACATGCAACAAGTCGAAGTCTTTAGTCCCTAAACTAATAAGTTCACAAATGATACTGGAGGCTTTAAAAATCTCTAAAACTGCCAAGTGTGATGGTGCACACCTGTAATCCCAGCACTTGGGAGGCTGAGGCAGGAAGATTGCTGTGAGTAGAGACCAGCCTGGGCTACATAGTGAGTTCCAGTTCAGTCTCAACTACATGATACCCTGGTCTCAAAAAAAAACAAAACAAAACACTAAAACTGCCATAAATCTCAATATTTTCTTACACTTACAGGTTCCAATACAGCAGAATAAAGATTTCTCTTTATTGCACTTTTTTAATAAATTGGTGAAAATTTTTAGGAGAAAAACTATATATGCCAATTTTTTGTCCCCAAAAGCCAAAGACTAAAAGACAAATATCTGTATGCACAGAATATTTCTTACATAATCAACAAATTTACTCAATAAATTTTCACGCCGTACTTGTGCAAAAGTTTTAGTGATCCTAAGTATGTTTACCAGGTGTTAAAGTCCAACTCAGAGAAAAAGAAATAAATGTGACCTCCATTATTTTTGTTTTTGTAATGCGACTGAATCAGTTCAGGCTGGCCTTGAACTCACTATGTACCTTATGGGTGGCTAGAATGTTCAGCGATTGTCCTGCTTCAGCCCTATTTTCTATTTCTATGCTGTATTTAACAAATTAGGGGTTGGCAGAAGGCGCGCCTTGTATATAAACAATGTCCTCAAACCCTGACTAGCAAATCTCTCCAACATACAATTATAAAACTGTTGAGCGTCAGAACGTGGAACGCACAAAACCGGCTTCAGTTAAGTGGTGTGAATACCTGAAAAGGTCTTCCAAAAGTAAAACTACAGTAGTGTCGGACTTACTATTACCGAAAGAACTTCATAATACAACTTCTAAAAACATGCATCTTCTCCCCTGCCTCCAACAGTTCAGATATTATTAAAATATTCCACCTAAAAGAGAAGTGTCCTAGCCTTAAAGTCCTCCACTGGGAAAAAGTTTTTTTTTTTTTTTTTTTTAATTTAGACAGGACTTCGCCATGTAGCTGAGGGAGGACTTGAACTCACTCCGTAGTCCAGATCCTCCTCAAACTACTTCTGTACCATCCTCCTGAGAGCTGGGATTCCAGGGAAGTACCAGCCCGGCTACACGCCTTAACCGAAGCGTATGAATTACGTCAAAGAAATAAAACTGCTCTACCTAGCTTAACAGCTAGCTGTTAAGTAACTACTATCCGAAACGACTGTACAAAAGCATCTCCTCCAGCTGGCGCCAAACCTCCATTATCTACAGACAGCAGTCAGAAGCTAGCGGCGGCCATTCTCCCCTCCGACCCCCACCATTCCTTTCGGTTCTTGTGCGTCACAAAACTTTCCACTCCGGAAAAACGGCCACACGGATACCGCGGAGGAACAACAAACAGAAATTCCATTGAATTTTTTTTACATTAAATCGCCAATACAGTCCAGTAGATCAAGCCCCACTATATAAGGAAGGTCCTCCAGCGTATGTAGACCACACAGCCGCGTTATCCCGTCCCACAGAGAAGGCTGTACTTCACAATTTCCCCCATATTCAGTTCACCTCCCACTTAAGCAACGACGCAAAAGTAAACTAAATCAGAAAAGATCATGAAAGCCAAACCGCTTAAGGCTAAAATGAAAAAAAAAATTCCCTTCTTGTGCTCCTACAGTCGCAAATTAGGGCCCGCAATGAGCATTTCTACTTAATAGCGTTACTTTACACTAGAGCCGCCTAATTCAGTCACAGTCCGACAGGATAGCTCGCCCGTTGCGTCGTTATCTCTACGACACCTTGTTACCAACACCGCCTCCGTAAGGCTTAATCCAGTTTTTTCTACACCCACACCATCAACCCTATGATATCGACACCCAGAGGAAGAGAAAACAAGATCAGTAAACACTGCGCCACAAGCCAAGTTAAACAAGGGAAGGGACTATTCAAAGAATTTAGGCTTAATTCGTCTTACCTGCTGGTGCACATTTTCCTCAGTCACATCACTCATCCCTGGAGAAAAAAAAAAGGAAAACTCGTGGTGTCTCACTGTATTAAAAAACCCGAATACCGGACTTCTCATAAAGAACTATATGTTTAGTGTAGCGACACCAGTAATATACTTACTCCAAAACTACATCAGCAGGTAAGAAGCGCTTTTAACTCCTTCAGACCTCACCACCGCCACCGGTTTAGGGTGGCCGTTACTTTTGCCTTAGAAACTCTCGTGCTTACGTCATAATCTGGCAAGATCTCTGGGAATCCCGTCCCAAACGCGAGGAATCGCGAGAACTTGGGTGTTCCCTTCCTCTACCAATAATCTGAATTACAGATACTCTTTAGCCTTTACCCTATCAAAGATGTTAGGCATCCCGCCTCAACTCTTGTTTCCTCCTCTTCCCTCTTACCCTCCAGGCGGCCTTTTCTTTCGTTTCTGGGAATCCGAAGTTTTCTGAAATTTCTACTTACTTGCTCTGGCTCCTAGAAACATAACCAGATTATAAAGCAGTGAAATAAATCCCTGAAGCCGAGAGGGTTTAATTCCACCTAACCAAAAGTGTCGGAGCGTGAGGCCATCTCGTAGAACTGTATACCATCTTTTGAATTGTCAGTTGGGGAGGCGAAACAGAAAGGTAGGCAGAAAGACTGAGAGAACAGGGGAAAGCAGAGGAGACTCCGCAGCACTTGCAAGCTGCCTGGCTGCCGACTAGGCTGGCTTAGGCTGTCGGGGCTTCCTAAATACCCGAGGCCCTTCTGGTTACTGATGTGTGTGCCCTGCAAGTGGGTGAGGTCTCTGCCTCATGCAATGAGGACATAATGAAACCATTATGCTGTAAGCGACACTGGTGACGTATATTCCAGATGACCTCAAATCAGAGGCTAACCAGTTTAGTCGCCTCATTGTTCCCAGTGACTAGTACTTGGTACTAACAGTGCTATACTTCCTCTTCAAACCCCACAAACCATTTAGCGCAGTGGAGCCGCCACCCGCCTCACAATGTGAACCCTGAGTTCTATCCCCGGTACAGCAATAAAACAAAACAAAAAACCCAAAACCCCACAAAGTATAAGACTGAATGAACGAGTAGTCACATAAGACAATCAATGCTGTTTGTGGCTGAGGAGATTAGTGTGCAGAAAGCGCTAGGGTTGTCAACGTACTCTTGCAGTGATCCCCCAGTCAGCAGTAGTGGGTGGGAAATGGAGGCAATGGGCTTCCGTACCAATATGAGAAATCTCCTTCAGTGGCCCACATTAGTTTCAGCGCTACAATTCCCTTAGGTAGGAGAAAATATATTGACTATTATCACTAGTGTAAGAAAGCAGCAGCACGGACTGGAGGTTTAGCTCAATGGTGCCACCGCCTGCGTTGCAAGCACAAGGTTCTGAGTTCCGTTCCTGGTTTAAAAAGGGGGGGGGGCAGTATACTATGTGGTTCTTGCACAATACTCAACTCCAGCCAAAGTAAAAAGACCTTCGGGCCAGGGACTTAGCTTAGTGGTTCCTCCATCTACCTCGCAAGAGCAAGGTCCTGAGTTTGATCCCCAGTATGAAAAAAAAGAAAAAAGAAAAAAGACCTTCCACTGCTATTATGTACAGCTAAGCTAGATAGAAATTAATAGGCAGTCAAATGGGTTGGGCCGTGCAGTGAGTCAGTGCAGAATATCGGGCATTTTTGAAGGCATATTTCAAATAGAGGCATATTTGAGGGCTGCCAGGCCTAAAGATAGAAAACTAGTTAACAGGCCTGGGAGCCTCCCAAAGAGATAAACAGCAATTTGAGTTCATACTGTTATTTGCACAAGTATATCCAGATAGGCATCAGTGGGTGACCAGAACATCTGGACCCTCTTCCCATCCCTTCACCTCCCTTTAGAAAAATGCCTTTGTTCTTTCTATGTTAGAATTATAAATACATTAAAGTAAGATTCTATTGCTGCTCCTGGTGCCGCTTGTATGTTTGTTCATGGGGAAAAGTATCTCTTTTGTGAAACACCAGCTGAGAAGACTTGGACGAGTGTTAGGACTGATGAAAACCCCAAGGAAGGGGCCGGCGATTTAGCTCAGTGGTCCCACTGCCTGCCTTGCAAACGCAAGAACCCTAGTTCAATCCCCGGTACAAAAACAAAACAAAAAAACAAGGAAGGTGTCAAGACAGAACAACCATATTAATTTGAAGGTGGTGAAGCAGATGTTTAGGAGATACAGCTTAAGACATATACCACTTAGTAACCTAATGAAAGCCTATTGTGAATGTGGATGAAACAGATCAAATTCCAATTTGTTTGATGGACAGCCAAGCAATGAAACGGACACACCTGCAAACTGCAACAGGAGGAAGAAAAAAAAAAAATGTTCCAGCAACAGACAGGAGGGAACCTATTAAAAAGGAAACCTAGCCAGGAATTTAGCTCAGTTGTTCTGCTGCCTGCCTTGTAAACACAAGGGCCCAAGTTCGATCACAAGTACCAAGGTGTGGGGGGGAACAAAAAAAAAAGTGGTGGGGAGCTGCAACAGCTTTACTCCAGACCAGGAATATATTCTCAGAAAACTGCAGTTTGGTTTCATCATAGCTTGACTACTACACTATAGCTTTCTCTATTCTTTCATTTACTCCATTCTTCTTTGTTTATTGTACATAAAATATTTGTTGTATGTGCACAAACATATTATATTTTTAAAACTTAATGGCCAATAATATGCTTTGATTGACATCAAATGGAGACGAGATAGGGATATACTTGTTCTGTGAAATAATCTCTTTTCTCCACTAGTAGCATGTTCATTCAGCTTTTTTTTTTTTTTATTCAGCTTTTATCTTTACATTCCAATTTGCTTTCACTATTTTCGGGTATTTTTTTGTACTGAGAGTTTAATTCAGGGCTTCACACTTGCCAGGGAGGCACCACAGCTAAGGTACATCCCCAGCTCTTGCTCTGTCTTAACAGAAGAGACAACAACATGAAAAATCCTGGGATACATTGGAGAATTTTAATGTTTTCCATTTATCTATGTTTAAATTATTTGATTTGATTTATTAGTTGATTTTTTGTTTGTTTTGTTTTTTATATGGGGCTCAAATTCAGGTCCTTGCCCTTGTGTGGCAGGTATGGCACCACTGAAATAAATCCCTGGTTGATTTTTTTTGATTGATTGATTTTTGTTTTTTTTTTTTTTTTTTTTTTTTTTGAGACAGGGTCTCACTATGTAGTTGAGACTGCCTTGGAACTTACTATGTAGGCCAGGCTGCTCTCGAACTCAAAGTGATCCTCCTGCCTCCGCCTCCTGAGTGCTGGGATTACAGGCGTGCACCACCACACCCAGCTTTTCTTTTTTCTTCTTTGTTTTTTTTTTTTCTGTACGGGGGATTGAACTTGGATCCTTGTGCTTGTGAGGCAGGCAGCGGAACCACTGAGCTAAATCCCTGGCCCTGATTGATTTTTTGAGGCATGGTTTTTTGCTGTGTAGTTGGACAGACCTTGAACTCATTATGTAGTCCTGGCTGGCCTCAACTCAATGATCCTTCTATATCAGATTCCTCAGTGCTGGATATAAATACGCACCACCAAAACCAGCCTAATCAAGGACAATTTTATAACTTGTTTGTACATAGCTGTTACATATAGGGCAATCTGTCCTTGAGGGGACTAAATTATTCATAAAAGAAGAATCCTAGATAGTATTCTCTCAAAAATAAAGTTATGCTGGTACATGCCTGTAATTCCAAAACTCAGGAGGCTGAGGCAGGAGTATCTAGGCCAGCCTAGAATATAGTAAGCTCAAGGCTGGCCTAAACTATGTAGTGAGACCATCTCAAATAAATAAATAAATAAATAAATAAATAAATAAATAAATAAAGTTTTAAAAAGTTGATGCTAGCCATCTACCCTTGCTATATAACTTATTTCATCATATTAGATAAATATTAGCTATGCGATTGTACTTGTAATCCTATTGGTTGTCTGTAGTTTGATGCATGTTGTATACTTGCTGTGATTTTGTTCTATAAAGCATTCTTAGAAAAATAGCCTCTTGACAACCCACTTTTGGCATCCCTGTGTCTCTCAGGAGCTTTTGCTCAATACGTCTCTGTTTTTGTCTTTGTTTTTATTTTTTGTACTGAGGACTGAACTCAGGACCTTGTGCTAAATCCCCAGCCCAAACCTCTCCTACTATTATTCTTTGTCCTCAAAATTCATTCTTCAATATTAAAGAGACCTAAGTTCAATATGTCTGTTATCTAACAGGTTGAGAATTATATTTCTCCCCATCACACTGATACAATTCAAATAACTCAGTTCTGAAACTTTGTCCCTTTTTTTTTTTGTATTTGAAGTAGTCAAACATGGTTAGAAATAGGAATTCTACTTCTTTTTCCCTGAAGTTCCTTTACTATCTTGTTAAGTGTGTTTAGTGGATTAATTTTAAAAAATAACTAATATTTTATCTAACACTTTTTATTTTAACTAACACTTTTATCATTATAAAAATAAATTCATAGGACTACAAATTAAACCCACTGATGCAAAGTTTCCACCAAAGTCCTAAGACAAAGAAATAGTAAAGTTATTTATAATAAAATGAGCACTTTAATATTGAAATGATTGGCAAGGCCACAGTGTGAAGCACTTGATCCTTCTATTAATAATACAAACAAAATGGGTTGAAGCAGGAATATTTCCCTGAGTTTGAAGTCAGCTTGAGCTACACATGAGTTCAAGACCAGCCCAAATTGCATTATGAGATCCTGTCTCAAAAAACCAAAAACAAGTTGGGAGTGGTGGTGCACACCTGTAATTCCAGCACTCAGGAGGCTCGGGCAGGAGGATCGCTGTGAGTTCAAGGACAGCCTGGGCTACATAGTGAGTTCCAGGTCAGTCTCAACTACACAGTGAGACCCTGTCTCAAAAACAAAAACAAAATCAAAAAAATAACAAAAAACTTCCACTTTATTTTCCAAAATTGTGTAAACTTCATAAATTTACCTTGTACACTAATGACATTACTGAAAAAAATGTGCCTAGTCTAGTCTAGTTTTCAATATACTGGTAGTTATTCCCAGTATACTGAAACCAGTCAAGAGTACTTTTTTTTTCCTGGTACTGGGGATTGCACTCATGACTTTTGAACTCATGATTGAACTCCTGACTCATTGCACTTTTGAGGCATGTGTAGTGCCACTGAGCTAAATCCCTGGTGCCCACAGTTTTACCCCAAAAACTGTTTTTGAGATAAGATTTACTATAAAGTTCAACTGGCTTTGAACTTGTGGCAATTCTCCTGGCCCAAGCTCCGAACTGCTAGGATTGCAGGTATGCAGTGCCATATCCTACATGATGTGTTACCTTAACAAACACTAAGCTTGTTACCTTAAGGTCTCTTTCAACTTACTTTTCTGATTTCATATTAGGGAGAACTGGCGAGGTGAATTGTTGGTCTAGTTTCTTTTCCACATTAACCATAGTGCACACAAGTGTCTATCATTTGTAAACTATGAGTTCTGACAGCTCTTCTACTTGTATGAACAAATCAGCTGTAAATAGACTCTAAGGACTATTCTGACTCTAGATTTTACTTTAAAACCTATTAAAGTACAGATACCTTCAACAGAGTATCTGAAATATTTACCAAAAAAATTCCTAATTTCAGTTACTATAGAAATATTTATGTCCAAACAACTAGAATCATTTGATAATTATGTAATAAAAGTATCAGATTAGGAAAGAAGCCAGGTATGGTGCACACACCTATAATCCCAGTTCTGAGGATACTATGACAGAGTGGTATGACTTTCAGGCCAATGTGGACTACACAGTGAGTTCAAGTCTAGCCTCAACTAAGTATCTAGACCTTATCTCAAGGATTCAAAACAAAATAAAGAAACACAAAATAGATTGGGAAAGAACAATAAACAAAAAACTTTGTCTTAATATTCAATCTGAAAAAGGTAAAATTACACATCATTTATGGTTTAGTAAATAAACCACCTTTTACA